TTTGTATATGTAATTTGGATGGATTTAGAAATAATTGATAATTGCAAAAAATAATTTTGATCACATTGTCATACGCATAATCATCTAATTGAAATCTATTTCAAGCTGCATCGTGTCTTCATGAATCATAATAGGGCTTTTTTCCCAACAATGTTGATCCCATTAAGGAGACTCTTTCTACTGTTTATATTGAATTTGTAGGTGAAATCAATAACTCTTTGTGGTAGAAACCAAAACTGATAATTTTGATAATAATATTGATTTACTTTCTCCTTTGTAAACAAATCATGAGTGAGTTATTACACTTCAGTCCATGCTACAATCTATCAATCTATTAATGTATTATTACTCTTATTGGTGAACGTGTTGATCTATATATTGAACGTTTTACTTTAAAAATTATTAGTTCCTCTATCACACCTTTTGTTTTTGGCATGTTAGTGCGTCTACCCATTGATAATGTCGATGGTGACCTAATGATTTTATTATTCCAGATGTTTTCAATATCCTAATCAAAAAGTTGGAATGCACTCTAACGCTCTCCAGGTTTTCTTCCCTAGCCGTTCGTATCTCGTTGTTTACTTCATGTTTTCTAGACTTCCCCCTTGTCATCATCACCGTTCTCTCCAACGCCTGTGCCTCAGGGAAGTGCCTTACCATTTTGCTCTGGCTTACCATTTATGTCGTGTTTTTTTATGGTGGTTAACTTGTGGATATGAGTTTTTTGAATGATAAGGGTTCTTCTCGTTTCTTCCATGATGCTTTAGTTGGTGACTCATCTTCTTCGATTTTTCCTGCCTCAAAATTACTTCTCGCCATGGATTACTATCATTGTGGATTTCAGAAGATGAAATTTTAGTTCTTGTTGCTCTTTTTGAGTTTGACTTGGTGGAAAAATTTCCAGCTCGTCGTACCTCTCTCGAAGCTATAAGAAAATTCTTCTTTAATTTAAAGCTTAATGGTGAAGTTTTGGTTACCATCCTCAATCTGAAGCATGTGTGGTTAAACTAGTTAATGATTTGGATTATTGTAGTGTAATAACTGGTTTATTCTACCAAATATTTTTTTCTAGAGTCAATATAAGTTCAAATCATAAACCACCTTCTTCATAATATTGATATTGTAATATTTCACTTACAAGAATTTTTTCGTAATTTTTGAGCACCGGTGAAAATCCTTAAAAAATTAGCACCTATCGGTACAATTGAGAATTTTGAGATTATTATGTGTCCATTTTGTAAATCGATTTCACCGATATTTTTTAAATAAATTGATTTATTTTATGAATATCTATCATTTTTAACATCCTAAATAAATTTATATGACTTTTCTAATGAAACTTGATTAAATTATATAATTATAGAATATGTTTTCCTGTTTATTACTAATAGATAATATTATATAGCTATGGATATTATTTATTAAAAGATAAACGAATAATTCTTCCAAATTAAATTATGGTGCATGACATGTAGTGTGTTTATCACCGTTCTTACTCTGTGAACAATTGCTATATGAAAGTGTTTAAATGGTCTCCTACGTTTGATATTAAAGTAGAATCCCCCATCATTACGATTTGGATTTCATTTCCCAACCTTAAACCCAATCTCTTCTCCCCTCGTATCCTTTATAGTCTCAGTTTCCTCTTTGGACGACCTCTTAAAACTGATAATGCTACTTCATGTGGTTCTCGGCTGTTAGTAGCTGGTGTTTTGGTTGAGTTAGATGTCACATTGTCACCAAACACTACCCTGAGCTGGTGTGGGTTGGCCCCAAAATCTGGGTTATGTTCAGACACTGGTTATAGAAGAATTTCCTTCATATTATTATTGTAAATCGCTTGGCCACTAAAAAATGGATTGTTGCATATTAGACCCTAATCCTTTTAATCTTCCCTCTATTACTCCTCGCTTGGGTAATGCGTGTATTTTGCCTTCTAGTGTTGAGCATAATACTGGACATGTCAATGGCTATGTGGATTTGGCTTTGCACAATGATGCTGATGTTGTTGGTGAGGACCACATGGAAAATTCGGTTGGCATATCTAGTGATGCTGGGTTGTCAGTTGAATCAAGTCCTTGTGGATCCCTCTGTGGTTGTTCTGATTATTGAGAATATCAGCACTATTTCTTCTAATTTGGTTGAAATTTCTTCTTTTGCTCCTAATGTCATTAACGCTGGAAATCACTACATTTCTCCATCCCAAAAGGCTTGTGAGGATATAATTATCGGGGCAGATAGTAATGTTCATTTAATGGCTGCTGATGGTATTAAATTTGTTGTTTCTTTAGTTGGTGTTGAGTTGGGTCATGAAGGTATTGATCCTAAAACTTGTCATGAGAATATGCATGTGGTGGATTTTGATTTGTGTGATGTTAACAAGGTGGTTGGTGTCGGCTTAGATCTATCTTCCATGGCTTCTCTTCATAACGGTTTGTCTCATAACAACTCGAATGACTCCTCTTGTGGAGTGGTCGTTGTCTCTAGTGGAGTGACTTCTTTGGGACCGATTATGTCCCCTAATTTTGGTTGCGAATGAAGGATTGCCTTTGATTGATATTCCTATCTCTCTTATATCTAATGATGTTTTGAAAGCTCAAATGACGTTAAAAATGAAGGATTCTTGTGAGGCCCAATGTGATTGGCTGGATGAGTTTGTTTCTTCCGTATTTGGAGGTGATGGGGAGGATTGTATTGGGTATGAAGAGGAGTTTCATGCAATGTATAATTTGAATGTGATTAGCATAGTTGACAAGGCTTCTACTCTTAGGGGTGGTAAGCATCGTAATAAGAAATCCAAGAAGAAGTAGCTCTTATTGGGCCTTGTTGGTTTGGTTTGACTATTTGTTTTGTTGGTTGGGGTGTGGGTTGTGATTTTTCTCAGCTTAGCAGTTTGGGTGCAGGAAGGTTGTGGCTCCTTTTTTGCCTTTTCTCCATTGTTTCTTTCTTATAGGATGCTGTCTTGCTGGATCTCTACTGGTGCTGGCACTTATTGTTTCTATTTGGCATCTCTTTGGTGGATTGTTGGCTCCCATGGTGGTCTTGTTTTTATTTTTATTTTTTCTTTTGCCTGATCTTGTATTAGATTGAATATAAGGCACATATGTTTTGCTTTAAATGTTGTATTCTTGAGGGCTTTAGATTCATTAAGGGCTTGGAACCTTGATTTATATTTACGCATATGCCCCTTATGTGGGTTTTTTCAAAAAAAAAAAAAAAGTTTCTATTCATTTCATTCCGTCCTTCAATATATGTGTCTCTAATTTTAGTTTGGGAGATGATACTATTTTTAATAACTAGAATTAAGAAAAAAAATCAAATAGGCATGGCTCATCTACTATTGTATATTAAAAATATCCTTTTGAGCCAAGGAAGTAGAAAGTTTACACCAAAACATTCCATTTCACAATATCAAAAATCCATGGCTTTAATAACTATGAATATTTGAATTAGGATGAAAAACTCTTCCATGATCAAAACATTTCAATCTTGACTCTTTGGTGTGCAAAAGATTCATTATGTTATTGGTTTGTGAAGCTAATTTCAACATTCTTGTACTTCAAAATGACTTGTTCTTCATCACATCCCATTATATTGTGATGGATACCTACTTTTTTTTATGTGATGTAATCTAATAAGAATATTTTCTTGCGTGGGATTTTTCTAAGTTTTATTTGAATGGAATTTGTATGTTACCTATTTGGCCCCCTTTTTTTTTTTACTTTTTTTTTTCCTTAACTTTCTTGATCACATAATTTTCATATTATTTATTTATTTATTTTTTCTTCCTTAAATATTTTTTTACATCCTGACACCTTTCTATTTTTAAATTTTTTATTTAAGTTGTTAAATTTAATAATACATATATATATATAATTCACACTGCTCCAGATTACAATTTTATGTACTTTTTAATAAATAATTTAAAATAAAAATCAGTTAATCTACATTGATAAGCTATATTTAACTTCAAATTCTTTCAAATAAACTCAAATTGAAGAAATTTCTGGTCAAACCTTATTAGGTGATCACTATTATTCAAATGCAAAACGCGTTTAAACTAAACACTATTGAGGCATAAATCAGACCGGTACAGAACAAACCATATAGCTTCCCTCTTCTCCTCTTATTTTTATCAGTTACCGCACAATCAAACAGTTTAATATTATTAAACAAAACCTTAATCAAATGGGACCGTACTTAGTGCAGTGAATTAGTAACAATATTTCCATCCAAAGACAGCTAATCAAAATTAAATCTCTCTCCCTCTTATCTTAAGACAGTCTCTCCAATAGCGTTTAGAAACGTGTTCCATCTCCCACATGAAGGCTCTTATTTTATACCACATTTTTATTTCACTACCATTTTATTAATAATTAACTAAAACGATCGATTAAATTATGATAACGGTAAAAAAAGCCACGGAAAGAAATATATTATTTGAATATAAATTATGATTAAAAAAAGCTACTGAAAAAATTTACGATAAATAAAAAAAAATTTGAAACAAAATATTCACTTTAAAAAAATTACAAGTATTAGAATCATTTTGAAATATATATAATTAAAATAAGTTTTAAATTTAAAAATTAGTTATGTTTAAATATTAATAGATTCTTTCACTCTCTCTCTTTTTTTTTTTTAAATTAATTCTTTTCTCAATAGTAACATACCAATGGCAATTTTCTTATAAATTAACGTTAAGGAAGAATTTCTCAATTAAATATGCAAAAAAATTATTGTTCAATTTTATTAAAGAAAAAAAAATTAATACTACTCATAACTTTTTAAATAATTTGGTATAATCACAAATAGTTATAAAGGTCCTAAACAAACACTAATTTTACATAGGTTGTACGCCTTTTGGATGCAAACTCTAAACTTGATTTGACATCCACACCTTTTTCTCTCTCTTATTTACCTTCCTTCTTTCTTTGGTCAGTTTCTCTCCCTATCTCCAGCTTCTACTCTTCTTCTGCCCCAATTCTCATATTTTTAATTTCAAATGGACGATTTTATGTTCCCATCTATTATCACTACTCAGCCATCATCATCTCATCTCATCAAAGACGAGATATCCTTCGCCGGAGCATGTGTACCTCCCCCGGTTTCTCCGGCGGATGTGAAAGCCAGAATCATGGCGCATCCTCACTACCCCAACCTCGTAGCCGCTTACGCCGAGTGCCACAAACTCGGCGCGCCACCGGAAGTGGCGGCGCGTCTCTCTACCGTCACCCGCGACCTAGAGACACGGCCTGGCGGTGGTCGGAGCTTCCCCACCGCTGACCCTGAGCTCGACCAGTTCATGGTGATGATTCATAAACTCGTTTATTTGTCTGCAAAAAATAATTTTTCTTAAATATGATTGTTTTTTCACAAAATAAAATAATTGTCTTAATCTAAAAACTATATTTTCTATTATTTAATTTGTGGTTGATTTCTTGAAAGGAAGCATATTACGATATCCTCGTCAAGTACAAAGAAGAGCTGTCGAGGCCGTTTGAAGAAGCAGCTGATTTTCTTCGAAAGGCAGAATCCCAACTCAGCTCTATCACTGATCTTAGCTCGATGAGCTTCCACTTCTCTACTGGTAAGAACTCATTTCTCTCTCTCCCTTCATCTCTATCTCTAAGCTGTCTGTGTATTCATATACATGTTTTCGCATGTGAGAAGGCAAAACTAAGTCTGTCTAACAATCTGTAGCTCGTTAGGATTTAATTACTTTCCCCATTGTTTTATGGAGTGCAACAATGGAGTTCTCTTTCTCCTCGTAGAAAAGAAGCTGAATGAGTTAGGGTTTAAGATTTTGGAACATGGTCTAAAACAAACCAGTCGTACGGCCTTGTGTCAGGTTATAATAGCAGAGCGGAGAAGAAGGTCTCCCGTCTTTCCCGCGAGTCTTTGTCCGGAAAATCTTCTTTGTATCTTATAAATATTTCAAATCTCCATTATTATATGCATATAAAATAAATTTCTTGATGACATTTATTATTTTAATTAATAGTCTGAATATTTATACATTTAAAAAGGTAAATCTTAGTCTTAAAAAAGAAAATGTCGATATCTCAGATCTCGAGTTAGACAATGTTAATGTGATTAGTGCTTGCTATTAACAAAGCATTTATCTGCATGATGGGGATAAGATGCCATTATATTAGAGAAAGGGAGCAAAGGAGATGGGTACACGTGGATATCCTAAGCTTAGCAGGACAAAGGAGTTAGCTTTTTAGGTTCTGGGCTGTTCTGACATGTTTTCTTTAGGGATTTAGGGTTTCAAGAGAATAATAATCTACCAGTTTTTGAAAGTAATCGTTCATTGATTCCTCTAGCTCTCCTTCTCTTTTATCTTTTCTTTTTTTCCTTCCTTTCTTTCTACTTTCTGAATAGTGAACACAGTGCAATGAAAAGAACATCGGATTCTGTTCTTATCAGGCCTGTCATTTCTCCCTTCCACACTTCAGTCGGAAACTTGTGGTTACTCATATTGGGCCATTTACTCTTATCTCATGTTTTCAAATTTTTATTTTGATTAAGCTTTAGAAATAATATATAGTTTTCATAATGTGGGAATTAAGAGGAGTATATGATCGCTGTAGGGTTATTTGGAGGGCTATGATCAAAGTCACGGGGTTGATTTCCTTCCCTATTTTCATGGAGTAAACTTCAGAGTACTAAATGTGCTAGTTTCATGGTGATCCGTCAGGGGTGTAAATGAGCTGACTTGGAAGGAGTACTGAGTGGTTCTATGTCTCTATTAAATAACTTGTTAACGATTGGGGACTGAATACGAATAAAAAACAAACTAAAACATCAAATCTTGTTCATTATTAACTTCTACCAACAATAAGCTTAGTTGATGGCCATCAATAGTTTTTCAATTGATGGCTAGCTCTGAACGTATAAAAGGGACCAATTAATATGCTTTTACTATTCATAAAACTCATCAAAATATAAGTTTTCCATTATTTTTGAAGTATAATCGAAGGTTTTTACAATAAAATGAACATGCACGTACATGTATGTTGGGCTCTTATTGAGCCAAACTGGTATAACGGATCTTATTTTTGTAAACGTAATGTAAAATTTCGTTCAAGCACAGCTACTTTTCTTAACGAATGACTGTTCGCGAAGGTCAAATCTTTTTGAAAACTAAAGATCTATATATTTGCTTGTTGGAGTAATGGAGGCGTAGATTTCTGTGAAGTTTTATGTAGCTAACATTTATATCCATGATTTTACTTTATATATCATAAATCCTGGAAATGATGAAGCATCTCTCCTGCAGTAGGGGGGGATGAAATGATCGTTTTGTTTGAAAGCTCGGAACTTGAGGAGAAGAATATATTGGAACTGTTCTAGTTTTTTGTCTTTTATAAAACTTGAATAATGCTACATACCTACTGCTGTGCATATATATAAGATTTGCTACTACATCTTTCTACAGTAATTTCTTGTTCTGGAAATTCCACTTAAAAACCCTTTCCCTTTGGTTTTGATCACATAAGACTTAGAATTTCCGAAATTGTGACAAAAAATAATATTTTTAATCGCACATTTATATATTATATATAGCCACTTTTTTTGAAGAAGTGTCATTTCTTGTGACTGCATGTATGGTCATTCTAAGTCGAATACTTTTAGTCACCATCAATAGTCACTGTCCAGAAAATGATATTAAAAATCTGAAGCGTAATTAAAAGATACTTTACTTGCATTTTTTTTAACCTTTATCATAATAACTAAAAGCATAAAATTACTTCAATTCTCGGTCAGTATGTAATTATACTCTTGAAAATTTTGTTTAGTGCAATACAATAGCAGCAATATGAGGATTTTTACAAACCAGAATGCTTAATTAGTTCAAATCAGCTAGCTATACTAAGGAATGAAGTATCAATAACCAGAAAAGCATATAATGGAAACTATACTCAATAACCAGCAGCTAAAAACAAGTCACTGTTGCAACGATTCTTCAATCCTTTTATGCTATCAACTTGGATTGGAGCTAGAACTATTTAGAGCATAGATTGTTTCTGAATTTTTATTCATTTCTACTACTCACATTACATACTTGACTATTACTCTTTATATAGAGGAAAGATAGCCTTCTATACCAAAAAATAATAACAAAAAAAAAAAAAAAATCTGATGAATAAATAAAATAAAATCCATATAAAAATATGAATAATAATTTTAGAAGGCTTTTTAGCAATGAAGTATTAATTTCAACTCCCCCTTTTGCGTTGAATTCTTGGATATTACTGTGCTCTATTCATGAAAAATTGAGGTGGCCATTGTCAAGCTTTAGATGCAAGAGTCTGTTAGATGAAATAAGGGAAATCACTATATGTGAATGCAAATCGAGTTCTTAGTCTTGCTAAAAACCTTTGGTTTGTTTAGAGGAAATGAGCACCCTACTAATCTATATATTGGGGAAGCAATAAAGCAATAAACAATTGAACAAATAACAATAATTACAATTATCATATAACCCGACAAGTTTCATCTTTCTCTTGATCTCCTAAAATTGAACTAATTCTTCATCTTCAGCTATAATTTGTTTCTCCTTTAATTTAAATGATGAACACTAGACTTCTCAAGGACTTTTCTTAGCTATTTCTAAGCCAGAGAAAATTTAAGTTGATGACATAAAATAAATATTCACATGCCCTAAGCCCAAAACATGTACTGTTTTTAGCATTTTTACCATGAATCATAGTTCCAAATGTTCAAGAAAATATGTCAAATTGTCATTTTAGTCACATAAATTTTTTTTAATCACATTTTCAATTTATCCATGATTTTCACACTTTCCTTAAACATATATTGTCCTCTACTATCAAATCTCAAGCTGCAGGAGATTTTACCTTTTAATGAATTCTCAACCAAAGTTTTGAGCTAATGGATATTTTTTCCGTAAATTTTAGTTTGTGATTCCGAAAGTAATCCTATGTATATCTTGACAAATCATCAATATCAGTTTCTACATATTGCATATTAGCATTCAAAAAAATTCTCACTTTTTAGGACTTCAGATAAACCAAAGTATATTTTATGATTAATTTGAGACACAACAACAACAACAACATCAAGCCTTTGTCCCAATACGTGAGGTCGGCACATAATTTGAGAAACATAAAATAAATTATTATTCAAGCCATGAATCTACTAAACTTAAATTTGAGCCAGCCAATAAATGATGAAAGAGATGGATCTCCAAGGGTCTATAGGATAAAATAAATCATCAATAATGACAAGAGAATCATAGCAAGAATAAATATGTGAAGTATCAAAATACTTCTTAAGACTTCCGGATTTCTGGAATATTTAAATCAATAGTAGAGATTGATTAGCTTGAAGAACTAAAATCGTCATTCTTTACACTTAGGTATGATGGAATGAATGGTTGGGTCTCCCCCTCCTTATATAAGAGTGATCTCTATATATCTTAAATTCTCTTGCAATCATATATTATATATACAAGATTTATCACCTGCAAGTTTTAGGCAAGTCATTTCCCCTTCTCTCACTTGAAATTTTAACTTTGCCTTTACCTTGATCTCTACTTGTAGCAACATTTGACTGCTTAAGTTTGATTATGCATTCCTGTTTTCTATGGCCAAACATTTCACATATATAACAAATTCCAAAGAACCTGACTTTTCCAATTAGGATTTTGTATCTTTCTCATATACAGCCAAATTTGACATCTCCAGATTTTATTAAAAATATATATTTTTTTCATTTTTATTCATACAAATCAAAGTTGTTTATTTAGATGTGAAAGCAAATATACTATATTTTTGAGAATTTAAAACTTCTTGATTGATAAATAAATTCTCCAATTAAATCAACTTAATTAATTTGTGATGTAGCTAGTCAACCTAAGAAAAGAATTATATACACAAGATAATCTATATTCAAACAAGAATTAAAATTTTGCAAAACTCACTTTTTTCTTATTGAGAATTTGCATCAGGAATATCAATCTCATCAAATCGATCACATCCTTATTTTGAGGGGAAAAAAAAAAAAACAAAGAGACGGTCATGCTGCCTTGCTTCTCCAAAAGTTAAATCCATGCCTCATTAGTTATAGTAAGAGAGCCAAGAAAAATTCCCATGCCTATTTTAGTTCTACATTTTCTTAAATATGCATAAGGTGCTCCTCATGCATAGTAACTTTTAGTATAACACAAATTCAACATTGATTCACCATTTTCTCTCAATTTCTCCATTTGCTAACATTTTGGTCTTCATACCATTGACTGCATCCCATAAATTTTAGCTAATCAAATATGGCTTAATACAAGCCTAGCTTTCAAGCGATGTCGTTGATACTTTTTAACTTGGGAATATCTAGATGCAATTTAGTTGGAGTCTAGAATACCATTATTAAAATCCACAATCATGAATTAAATCTACACATTTGGACACAAACATTATTGGATTTAACAAGCCAAGGTCGTGGTGGAAAATGGAAGTGTATGATCACCACCAGCAATCACCAATCTTTGATATCATATTGGAAATTAACTCACTAATTTGAGTTGCCAAAAATCATAATAACTCAAACCAAAAAATAACTTAT